GCTAGTATAAGATAGTAATTACTGTCATTAATGCGCAAATCACCGAAAAACAGGGCAGCTAGCAAAGATCATTAAGGAATCAGATCTTTTAGATCTTCTTTGGCAGGCTAGCGGGGATTATATTCCGCTCTTCCTTATCTGAAACTCACCGCCGTCGGGTCCGAATCAGAGCTGATCTTCTGCTTGGCCACCGCGGACACTCGGCGAGGCGCCGGCACGGTGCGGGCGCTGGAAAACGGATTGTTGCGTATCTCAGGCGGGAATTTTGGTCTTAAAATAGAAATTGGCAGAGATTGGGATCCTGGAATACCTGAAGAAGGCCCTGATTATTCCGGGAGGCTGTAATTAGGGGGCTAGGAGGAACCCATACAAACCTTGACGAGGTCTGGGCAGCGGAAGGGGCTTCACGAATGGCCACAGTATCGATAAGGAGGAGGGCTGTACGCCCATCAGCCACTAGACCAGAGATGTTGATGCGGATGCCGGACGAGGGGGAGGAGTCCAAGCTGGAAATGACTCTTTAGATTTTTATATATATCTCTCTCTCTATGTCTCTCTCTCCCTCTCTCTCCCGCTTTCTCTGGCAATATCGCTTTCCGGCAACCTTTAACTCTCTCTCTTTCTCTGTCATTCTGTCTCTCTCACTCTCGCTCCCTCCCTATCTCTCTCGCTCTCTCTACCATTCTGTCATTTGCTACTCGCTGCCTCTGTCTCTCGCTTTTTCGCACACTCTATTCCTTCGCTCTCTCTCTCTCTCTCTCTCTCTCGCTGTTTATCTCTTTTATCACTCTCTATCCCTCTCGCCCACCTACCGTAATACCAACGATGGATGTGGCACCAGATGATGAACAGGCATCCCAGTCTTTTCACCACACCTAAACAATCCCAAATTCCCCCCAAAAACTCGTGCTCACTTTTGTGGGGTGGGCGTGGCCTCCATTGTCGTTTCCTCAATTTTGATCCCCTTACTCCCCCAGAAGAACAATTCCTGCTCGGCGGTGGCCGCCAGCGAGTAGCCCTCCCCGCAGACGACGTGCTACAATGCAACGTTTTTGATTTGGTCTTCAGCGTCCCTTTAAACTGCGTTAAAGGAGCGCTGAGGCAAAAAAAAGAAAAAAAGACCTTTATGGAGTTCTGACACTAATTAATTTTCTGGATAATAAGATGGTTCTCACCAGAACGGTCTTCTGTAGGAGCCCCTTGACGGGAAAATGAGCAGCATGTTGGGGTACGGTGCCGAGTCCGCCGATTCCCAGCTCTCCCCAAACGTTGCGACCAAACAGGTGAACGTGACCCGAGTCGAGGATTACTGTAAGTTTTGGTTGTCTCTCTCTCTCTCTCTCTCTCTCTCTCTCTCACCTCCTGTGTGATGCCTTCCTATCGTCACATCCACAACTCGTCCCGGAAATCCCTTGACGACTGTCGGCTTCTCGATATAATCGAATGCGTTCTGAATTTGGTGTTTTGTACACCGTACGTTACAGTACACTTCATTGCGGTGCAGGGCGCCGCAGTACGTTTCAATACGCTATAGTTAAGGCTTTTTTTTCCCAAGCCTAATCCTACGCCTAAATCTAATCCTAAACCTAAGCCAAAGCCTAAGCCCAAACCAAACCCAAAGTAAGCACAACTTGCCTTGGCCTCCCTCGAGAAGAACCCCTGCCGTTGCGCCAGATTCAACTTGTTGTTCCGGTTGGCTCCCCAGGCTATTAGTGCGCCATCGACTGGAAAGTTTCGAGGTGAACTGACTTTGTTTTTTAAGACCTGTCAAAAGTGCACTGGCATCCGGTCCGCAACGCACTGCCACCACACTTGAATGAGTGGGAATGTCGATCTAAAGGTGAATTTTTACAGGAATTTTTAGTCCACATTTTCTACAGTACTGTAGCGTTTTGAAGGGACTTTTAGGATGAAGCTCCGGCCTGTCGCTGAAAGCTGAAAGCTTACCTGTGCCGGCTTCAACGTCCATCCATGGCCCTTCCCCCAGCCCCATACACCGCCACCCTCACAGAGCACGACCACGTGCTCATCTCCGCAGGCTACTTCCAGGACGTTTGTGCTGAAATTGGGTAAGGTAGCAGAGATCATTGAGGAAGTGATGGCAGGCTAGCACAGATCATTGAGGAAAGAAGGGTAGGCTAGCAGATATCATTGAGGAAACAGGCGCAAGCTAGCAGAGATTATTGAGGAAGCGAGCGCAGGCTAGCAGAGACCATTGGGAGAGTGAGGGCAGGCCGGCAGAGATTTTTGAGGAATTGAGGGCCGTCTAGCAGAGATCATTGAGGAAGCGAGGGCAGGCTACCATGGATCATTTAGGAACTTTTACAATCAAGCGCAAGCTAGCAGCGATCATTGAGGAAAACCGGTTTCAACCTACCTAAATAACGCGTCGAGAATACAAGGTGAGACGAGCCGGGACCCCTCCCCAGATTGGCACATCCCACCCTCTCCACACATCCATACCGTACCCCGATCAGCGCAGAATATTCTAAAAAATAATTATCATATTTTAACGGATTTTAAGTTCTTTTTGACACAATATTTTTGCTCCTGTCACCATCCCTTTAAACCGGAAACACCTACGAAAAACCCCGGCCAGCAGCCGCACACTGTATTCGCATCTCGCGCAACGACTCCATCCGCGTTGGGCTGCTACGGTATTTCTCAAAAATGGCGATCACCAAGTTTGCGTGACATTTTATACCGTATCTCCAAGGCCGAGCTGCCCGATGCTGTTCTCACCCCAGGAGTAAACCTCACCGCTCGAGCACACGGCGAGGAAATGGTTCGAGCTGAGGGAGACCTAGATAAAGCATGAGCCTGGGCATGAGGTTAAGGCTAAGCCTAAGCCTAAGCCCAAGCCCGAGAGTAAGCTTAAGTAAGCCGAAGCCTCAGCCCAAGCTTAAGCTCAAGCCCAAGCCAAGCCTAACAATAAGCCTCAGCCCAAGCTTAGGCCCAAGCCAAGCTTGAAACCTGTCTAATATGCGTCTTCGCCGGCAGTCCATCAATCGGCTCCAAGCCCATCGTCGACAAGTCCATGCGGTAAAGCGTGGACCTTGCGCTTCCGCCGCGTAACTTTGGACGGAAGGGTACGGTAACTCGGCCACGGGTTAGGCGCTGAAAAGAGAAGAAGGATAAGCTTAAGCAGTAGCCCGGGTCTAACAAGCTTAAGCCTAAGCCAGAATTAAGCCCAGGCTTAAGCCTAAACCGAAACCTAAACCTAAGCCTAAGCCTAAGCCTGAGCCTAAGCCTAAGTCTACGCCCAAGCAAGCCTAAGCTTAACGGACCTGTAATGCCGCACTAGCCTTGGGCCTTGAAGCAGCTTCCAGCGACAGCAAATCCCGCACCAGCAGCTTCATCCCATTCGAATACGGGCCCCGCACTGGCTCGTATTGAGACTAAAAACGGCTTTTACGCACCTACAGTACCCGCATTACCTTGCATATCCGGTTGACAAGCGCAGGCAGCGAATCAGCATCGAATGCCTTGGCCAAGCACATCGTTTCGTACAAAATGCACCCGATCGCCCACATATCAGACTTTTCGTTGTACGGCTTGCCCTCGCACTGGAAATGGGAGGTGAGATAGAGATAGAGAGAGAGCGAGAGAGAGAGAGAGAGCGAGAGAGAGCGAGCGAGAGAGAGTGAGTGAATAAGTGAGAGAAGGAGAGAGAGAGTGAGTGAGAGGGAGTGCGAGCTACAGAGATAGAGAGAGAGAGACAGAGAGAGAGAGAGAGAGAGAGAGAGAGAGAGAGAGAGATAGAGAACCAGAGTATTGTCTACCATTTCCGGACTCAAATAATGTGGCGTGCCAACCAGTGTCGTAGCACCTTTAGAAAGCGTATCAGCACCCATCAGTTTGCTAAAATTCATGGTTGTCCAATCCCAAGCCAAGCCAAGCCCGAGCCTGAGCCTAAGCCTCAGCCTAAATCCAAGCCGTAGCCTAAGCCCAAGCCACACCTAAGTCCAGGCCTAAGCCCAAGCCTAAGCAACTTAACTTACCTAATCCCAAAATCTCCAATCTTCACGTCGCCCTCCTGCGTCAAGAAGATGTTGGCCGTTTTTAGGTCCCTAAAACGTGAACAATCTACCGTAATCCGGGGCAATATTACTAAAAAATATAATTTACCGGTGCAACACGTTGTTTTCATGCAAATAAGCCACAGCCGAGCAGATCTGCTCAAAAAGGCCGCTGATCGTCTCTTCGGCAATGAAGTCGGTGCAAGCCATTAGGAATTGGGCCAGCGTTCTGGAAAGGTAAACTTAAGCTTGAGCCCATGCCTAAGCCTAAACCTAAGATAAGCCAAGCTCAAGCCTAAACCTAAGCTAGCTCTCATGCTCCAAACTAACCCTCCATCGGCATATTCCATCTCAATGAGCAACAGCCCGTCCTCCTCGAACGAGTCGAAGTAGCTGACGATATGGGGATGTTCCATCCGAGACAGGACTTCTACCTTTAAAAAGTGATTCCTTTTGCGCCGCAAGGTAACTCTATTGACTTGCATCACCGAGAATTTTTAAAATCTGCCTTCACAAGCCCTTTAGAGGGATTCAGAATGTAGCGGCCCTGCGACTCACCTCGTTTTTAGCCAATTGACGCTCCGTGGCGGCCAGCTGATGCATGCTAATTTCTTTTATGATTACCAGCGTCTCATCTTCTCGCCGTCGGTATAGTACGGCAGCTCCGAAGGCTCCTGAAAACGCGTGGCTGGGTTTTGACGCTAGGTCTAAGCCTAAGCCAAGCCAAGCCAAGCCTAAGCCTAAGCTTAAGCCAAGGTCAAGCATAAGCCAGGTCTAAGCCAAGCCTTTTAAAGGGCTGCCGACGGCATGTGTCGATCCCCCTCATCAACAAATTGGCAAGTAGCCAACAGGGGAGAGAGCGCGCCCAGGGGAGAGGCGCAGAGACATTTTCTTTTCCGCGCGTAATCGATTGTCTATGCCGTCGGCATCCCTTTAACCCACCTTTACCAACGACCCGTATTCGCTCGTAGTTGGATATGGCGGAGGGGATGCGAAACACCTCCGCCTCGACCCCATTCCGCAACTGCGACAGTTTGAAGTAGACGGCAACGATCCGTCTAGAGGAGCGTTCCGTAGTCAGGACAAATTCTCGGATTACAGTACCTGTTGTGTGGCTGTATATCCGGGGCGGTGAAGCGGGGGATGAAGCGGATGGAGACCTAAAGCACCGGGGGTTTAAAGGGTTGGTAACAGCTGGGGGAACCGCGTTAAAAATATGGGTGACAGCTGGAAAATGATTTTAAAGGCAGGTCGACAGCCATGAAACAATAAACCTAATTTTAAAGGTATGGTGACACCATCTTAAAGGGTGTTTGACGGCTCGTAAAAATTTTAAATGTATCGGAACAGCTGGAAAACGCTAATTTAACGACGATAACGGTAAGTCCAATGAAAAACTACCGTAACCCGGCCCCAGAGATGAAAATTTTTTGTTATTCCGCATTATGACACGGCAATCAGTCACGGTTTTCTGTTTTTCCAGGCGGGACCCCAAAATGGGACCGGCGCCCGGGAAAATATGGGGTGCCCAGTTAATTGGAATGCGAGAGAGGAGAGAGAGAGAGAGAGCGAGCGAGAGAGCGAGAGAGTGCGAGAGCGAGAGAGATATAGAGTGAGAGAGCGAGGGAAAGAGATAGAAAGAGACAGAGAGAGACAGAGAGAGAAAGAGAGAGAGCGAGAGATAGCAAGAGATAGCAAGAGAGGGGATGAAAGAGTGAGAGAGAGAGAGCGATAAAGAGAGAGATAGAGAGAAAGAGAGTGAGAGACGTGATCACCCGAACAAGTCGTGGAAATCCATCCGTGTTTTCCGGTGTGTGTCTCTTTTCTGGGTGGTTGAGTGGGGCAAAATAGGGCGGTTGTCAAGGAATCCGAAAAAGGCGGAAAGAAGGGTTACGGAAAACTTACAATCAAATGAATTCTATTATTCCATAGAGACTGAGGGGATAGACTGTCAATAGCAGTGGAAGAGAATCGCGAATTTGGGGGGTAGGCTAGCAGGGATCATTGGGGAAAAGCTGTAATGGGTGAAAGCGGCCGCCACATCATATAGAAAGTCTTTAAACAATAGGAAAAGCTGGGGAAACGTGGAAAAACCCAGGGCAAGCTTGCCAAGATCCGTGGGGAAACTAAACGGGATTGGGAGAGCGGGAGAACGTGAGAGAAAATTATAGAGAGCGTGAGAGAGAGAGACGAGAGAGAAAGAAAGAGAGAGAGAAAGGGAGAGAGCGAGAGAGACAACATTTAAGAAAAGTTTTGACCTAAAAAAGCACCTTTTTCACGAAGAGACTCTGCAGAATGATCCCAAGTTGCGCACAGTTTTCGACAGCGCTAAATTTGCATGCGAAAAATGGCAGAAGGCGTACCTGACCAGAAAGAAGTCCAAAAATGACCCGTCGGCCAGCTGCTCCCCAATTAGCCAGGCGAAGAATCGCCGGGTTGGCGACCCTTTTCGAAGCGCCGTTTTGGCGTCCACTATCTGAACTTGGGTTATTAGTAGGTAAGCCTAAGCCTAAGCTAAGCCTAAGCCCAAGCCCCAGCCCCTTAAGCCTAAGCCTAAGCTTACGCTACGCGCCAGCGTACTCACCGTATTCGGATCATTCGTCAATGCCAACCGCCCATCACCACACTGTATGCTCAGCCCGCAATTCCGAACCAATCCTCGCGACGTTTTGGCTTGAACCGCGTCTAAAGGAGCGTAGCGTCGCCAGTAATCTCTACTTACCCTGCAGCTGGCGGAGCGTGGCGGAAAAGTCGGCATCGATGAGCTCGACGCCAGGTTGGACCCGCCTTGAGACTCCCTCATTCACACCGGAGTGCACGATTACGCATGAAGACATCGACGCATTAATGGGAGGGCTAAAGGAGAGGTAATGAGAGAGAAGCGAGAGAGAGAGAGTAAGAGAGAGAGAGAGAGAGAGAGAGAGAGAGAGAGAGAGAGAGAGAGTGAGAGAGAGAGAAGCTGCAGGCAAGCTAGCAAAGAGCTTTTGTGGCACGTGATTAGGAGCACCTCGTTTGTGGCCCGCGAAAAATTCCACGATCAGCTAGTAGCGGCCCCCCAAAAAATACGTGTTGCCTCGGGAGACCCGGCTCAAAAAAGGTGAAACCGGGGGCCCCTGTCACACTTATTAGTTGACGACCGACGGGAAATGGGGGCCCTCGGGCCCCCATTTTGATTCCCATGGCAATTTCACGGCAAATATACACAGAAACCAGAATTAGAAAAGGTCGGAAAAGTCTGATAAAGATTGGGTGATCAAAGTTTTGTCTGGTATTGGTCACCGAAGCCCGATAAGACGAAGCTAAGCCTAAGCCTAAGCCTAGGTACAGCCCAAGTCTAAGCGATGCTTAAGCCTGGCTTAAGCTTAAGTATAGGCCAAAGTCTCACCCCAAACTTAACCCTAAGCCAAGCCTAAGCTTAAGTATAAGTCTAAGCCTGGTACTAAGCCTAACCCAAGCCAAACCTAAGCCTCAGCCTGAGCCTAAGCGAAGCCCAATCCTAAACCAAAGCTTCAGGCTAGCCTCAGCCTAAACCTATGTTTATGCATAAACCTAAGCCTAAGTTTAAGCCTAAGCCTACTCGAGCCTAACCTAAGCCGGAGCCTAAGCCCAAGACTAAGTTAGCCAAGTTCCTTGTGGAAACCCGCAGTTTCCTGCCGCCTAAGCGAGATTTTTGGGAAACGGATGGCTTGCAGAGATTTTTTTCCGGAAATTGTTGCATTAATAGAACACCAGAAAGGCAATCAATTTATTCAGAATTTGCACCATTATCAAGTGACCCGTAGCAATGTGAAGATCAAGACAGGAATACAGTTTTTACAGTCGATAAGCGGAAGTCCGTCAGCGTTCACTCGCCGAAGTGTTGTCATTTTCATCAAGGGACCGCAAGGAGATGTTCAGGCTTTCTTCAAGCACCGCGAGGGGAGCCGGGCCAAAGCTCGGAGGTCGAGCTATTCGGGCGAAGAGAGGGGAACTGAAAAAATAATGCTTAATTAGCGACCTGTTCATCGCAAAAAATCGCTATAATTTTTGCCTTTCGAGTCCCTTTAAATCATCTTAGCACACCCAAAACCAACCCCGTATTCTCAGTGCTCGTCCTCGACATCCGCGAGTCCCGCCGCGATTCCCGGAGGGATACGGTAGGTATCGAAGTCTGATCTGCCGACTCGTTCCTTTCGATTAATTGCTCCTTGTCGTCGGAGAGCAGACGGCGCTTCCGGATTTCTTGAGATTCCTCGTGGATTACCTGGAATTGTCTGATTTATCTCTGCTAGCTTTCCCTCTTCCTCAATGATCTCTGTTAGCCTTCCCTTGCTTCTTCAAAAAAGAACCAAACTTTTCTTTCCTCAGGATCTAATTCTTCAAATATAAATAGTGGGAGTGTTTCGAAATGGTTTTTCACTGATCCTAAACGTGAAAATGTTACAAATTTTATTAAAAACATCAAAAATATCGATTTTTCGACCAAAAATGCCGAATTTTTACCAAAATTTCGAATTTTTAAAAGGTTTTTAAATAGTTTTTCTGGTTGGAATATAGTTATACATTACTAAAAATAATATTACCACACTTTCTATTAAGTTGCTAGACATTTCTCAACATAAATTTTATCAAAAAATTTAGAATAGGCTAGCTTTTACCAAAAAGTTCGCCCCCCGATAATGCCAAAGAACCTGTAGCTAGCCAGCCTGTCCTCGTTTCCTCAATAATCTCTGCTAGCCTGTCCTCGCTTCCTCAATCCTCTCCGCTGGTTTGCCCTACCTGTGCATGTTTATCCCGGCTCTCCAGCGTGATCACACACGCTATAATCAGGATAAATGTCCCAATTCCCATCAGCACAGGGCCTAAAATTAATTAATCTTTATTTTTTGATTTTTCCATACCAATATACTGTAGGCTCTTCAGTTGATAAGCAATCACAAAGTCGGTCTTCTCCTCTGCAGTCCCGTTATTGAGGACTTGGTACTAAAATAGTTTTTTGGTTTTGAAATTTTAAAGGGATGGTATCACCTGGCTGAGGGTTTTGTCGAAATATCCAAGAGCTGTCATCCCCAAGCCCACAGAAATGATGATGCAGCCAAAAATCACCGCCCGGCATGCCGCCCAGACTGTCTGAAACAAAACTGGATTGAAAAAAATTATATGAGATAAACTTGGCTTTACCATTTTTTTTTTGTTGCTTTTTCTTATTCGTAAAATTCAAACATCTCATATGCTATGAAAAATTTAATTTTAACTTTAATTACCTAATTAATCTTATTTTTTATTTTTTACCAGCTGATGCTGCTGTTCAGAGCACAGTTCGTAGTCGCTATATAAGAGACGGTGGGCGTCGATTAGGGACATTGCCCTTAAAAACGACAAAGGTCATTTCGAGTGGAACGGAACGCCGGGAAGGACTTCAGGGGTTGGGTCATGGAGAAAGAGAGAGAGAGAGAGAGAGAGAGAGAGAGAGAGAGAGAAAGAGAGAGCGAGCGAGAAAGAGAGCGAACGAGCGATAGAAAGCGAGAGAACGAGAGAGAGCGAGAGAAAGGAGAGAGAGAGAGCGATGGAGAGAGATGTATCTATCAAAAAAGATGAAAATTTGACAGTAAAAAATTTAGAGATAGCTAAATTTTAACGAGAGAGAGAGAGAGAGAGAGAGAGAGAGAGAGAGCGAGATGGAGAGAGAGAGAGCGAGATGGAGAGAGAGCGAGATGGAGAGAGTAAGAAAGACTGGTTTCGGCTTCTATAAAAAATAAATCTTAAACAACCTAATAGCTTGAGAATTTGGCCCTAAGGCGAAGGACCCAGATGGGCTGGACAATCCAATAGAATTCTAGAGATGGCCATGCAGGGAAACCGAATTCCCCTATTTTCCCCAGGCCGTTTCTCTTCGTATTGGACGAATGGGGGAAATGGGGAAGGTGTTGCCCCATGGAATCGAGAATTGAGAGCACTGGGGATTAACGATGCCTGTGGGAATGATTTTAAAGGGATGGTGTGACTTAAAAAAGTAAAAAGCCAGCTGGTAAGGCCCTTTAAAGGGTCCAGAATCAATGGGAAGCGCGGAAACCCGAAAGGCGGCCTTCTTCCCTATGAAAAGCTCTCTATGAATAACTAAAAAGTGGGTGGTTGGCTAGAGGGTGACTATGCTTTGAGCTTGCACTTCCTGAAAGGTCTTTGCTAGCCTGCCCTATCCTTTACACTCAGGAATTTTAAAATAGACTTTTATGGCCAATTAAGAGAATTCTGAGTTCGAATCACTTCCGGACAAGGTACTTGAGCTTAAGCCTGAGCCTAAGCATAAGCCTAAGCCTCAGCCTAAGTATATGCCGAAGCCTAACCTAAGCCTAAGCCTAAGCCAAGCCAAGCCAAGCCAAGCCAAGTCTAAGCCCAAGCCTGATCCAAGTCCAATCTTAAACCTAAGCCTAAGCCTATTCGTCAGCCTAAGCCAAGTCAAGCCAGACCAAGCTAATCCAAGCCAAGTCCAGCCAAACCAAGCCAATCCTAAGCTTAATCCTCAGTCTAAGCCTAATTGTAAGCCAAGCCAAGCCAAATTTAGACCTAACATAAGCCTAAGTCAAGCCGAAGCCTAAGTGGAAACCAAGCATAAGCCTAGACTCGTCCCAACACCGTTTACATCCCTCTCTCTCTCTCTCTCTCTCTCTCTCTCTCTCTCTCTCTCTCTCTCTCTCTCTCTGATACCTGAATGACGCATTCAATTGGGTCCACGTAGCGCTCCATCTTGTCTCGCCCCAGAACCCCGAGGGTGAATAATTAGCCGTCGTAATCGGTTGGCCCACGCTTGGCCTAAGGAAATGTCAGGGCCCGTTGGGTTTCCTTGATTCCACCCAGGCTTATGCCTTTCCCACGCTGATATTCCGCCCCATTCGTGCCGGCAGCCAAGAGATTTCAGGGTGTGTGGAGGATGGGGTGGATGGACACTCGAATGGGTCAAGTGCCCGGAAGGGACCCAATATTGACACCTAAGCCATTTTGGCTTTTGCCGCAGATGAAACCGGGGGTATTTTGCCTAGACAGAGCGTTCAAAATATTATTGATGGCGGTATTTCGCATTAACGAAACAACGAATTGGAAGCCTAAGCCTAAGCTTAAGCCGCAGCCGAAGCCTAAACCAAAGCATAAGTCGATGCCTAACCTAAGCCTAGGACTAACCACAACCCCAAGCCCAAACCTTAGCGTGAGTCTAAGCCCAAGCCTAAGCGAAAGCCAGTGCCTAAGGTTAAGCCTAAGCCAAGCCAAGCCAAGCCTAACCTTAAACCAAAGCCCAATATTATGATCATCCTAAGTCTGAGCCTAGCCCAAGCCCAAGCCTAAACCTAAGCCCAAATCCAGCCCAGCCTAGGCTTATGAGTCCACTTTTCGAATATCGATCTATAGACATTAATAAAAGTTAAAAAATGCAAGATATTGACTTAAAAAAACCTTATGAAAATGAAGCAGCTAGAAGCTTGTGCTCAAAAGGGCTTTGTTAGCTGGGGGCTGGCTAGTCAAAGTGGATAGGTTAGGGCCCGTCGAATAGTTCATATGCAAGATGGGTCCCCTGGGGGGAATCCGGGACGGCTCAAGGCTTTGGTATACGAGAAATCCCGCCCAAATGGTCTCTGCTAGCCTGCCGTGCTCCAAAGGTCTAGATTGAGGACCGTATCGCTCAGAAAAAGTTTGTAAGATTTAAATATAGGATCAATTTTTCAGAAAATTTCTCAAATAATCTCTGCTAGCCTGCCTGCAGCTGAAAAGTCGATATTGACAGTCAGAATTCGGATAACCGTTACTCAAATGATCTCTGCTAGGCTGCTCCGGTGAAAAACAGCAGATAATACCTTAAAACCGGGTTATTTGCATTTTGTCGAAAATTAGAATGTCGAAATTCTGTTGTCGGCATTTTAGTTTTCCGGTTTTCGGTTTTGTTCCAGGTAATTGGTCGAAATTCATTTTGTCGAGATTTACCGTTTGCAAAATTTTATTTTGTTGTAAATTAAAATGCAGAAATTGATTTTTCTGATTTTGTCGAAATTCTTTTGTCGGCATTTTATTTTGTCGAGAAACACAGAATATCGATCTTTCAGAAAGAACATGCTAAAAAAACATTTCAAAAATATTTTAATTTTCCACATGTTTCAGCGGAATATATACCGACAAAATAAAAATGTCGAAAAAATGAAATGCCGCCAAAAAGTCTTCGAAAAAATGAAATTTCGACAAGCGGAAACTGCGGAATATTTATAGTAAATGCGTAACAGCATCCGTATAAAAATATACCTGCTGATTAGCCATATAATACGAGGCCAGAATTGGGCTCGAGCCCGAAATGACGAGACCATGCACGAGATCGAGTAAAGACGGCAAATAGCAAAGTGCCGTATTTCCCAATATTTGGATAGATATTTGTAGAGAAATCGAGACGACCCAACGCGAGGTGGCCCATCCAAAATGACGGCTATCCCCCGGATTAACGCTGGTCACCCCCTCGAAAAGTTGGAATGGCGGGAATTTTAAACTAATCCCACACACCCAGGCGTCGCCCTGGAGACGTTCAGCGTTTTGCTGGGTTTTTTTTTTGGCTTCACGCGTGAAAATTCATCCGCTTTTCGCGTTTTGGAAAACGTGAAATTTAAATATTCGTAAGATTAAGCTTAAGCTAAGCCTAAGCCTTACCTAAGTCTACACCTAGGCCCATTAAAAAACGTTAGAAGTTGATTCATCAAAGTCCAGCCGTCTTTTAAACCCTGCTCAAAACTACCCACCTTGGCGTCGGCCTTCTTCTTGATGATGACGCGGGGCTGGAGCCGTTTCCGTTGCTTCTCCTCCTGCTTCCGTCGCGCCTGCAAATTCGTGCCGTTGCCTATGGTGCGCGCCGCCGCGCAAATATTTCAAAATCTAACATAAGCCCAAGCCTAAGCCCATGCCAAGCTGAAACCATGCCTAAGCCTAAGCATAAGCCCGGGCCTAAGCTTATGTCTAACAAGCCACTCACCAAAGCCGCTGCCTGTAGTTGCCGATCCCCGGGCAACTGGTTCAGGTCGCTGAGGTTGATCTTCCCGAGCCCCAGCGAAACACCCCGGGCCGCCAACATGTCTGTAATAAAGTTTTATACAAAATTTTTTATTTAAGCTTTCAAAAACAAAATTAAAACTTTAACTAGAGGTTAAATAGCTTTAAAAATGGCCATTAAAAGCTCTGTCAACGCTAAAAATTAAATATACGTCTAGCACTTCTGCAAATAGACAAATCAATCTAAAAGTTATGGAAACAAGGATAATTGATGGAAAGAATCAGAAATAAACATAGTTAAATATAGAATTAGAAGTATAACTAGACGATTAGGTGTTTTAAAAAAGCGTAAAAATGAAAATTTCACTAATTAAAAATAACCGCTCTATAAAAAGGAAGAGAAAATCTATTAAATTAATAAGGAAAACCTTTCCAACTTAAAAAAACCCCTAACTAATCAATGCCTCCTAGCCCTACGCGACACGATGAGTGAACAGTTGTGCCGGCGAAAGGGGGATGAAGCCTCGGGCCACACACAACCCATTTCATGCCAACCGGGGCAAATGGCCAAAAAACCCGAAGCACCCGCCGCAAGCACGGCAAACACACCGAGGAAATTGCCAAGACGCATGGATTCCCAATTACAGCTTGAGGGCGTTTTCTCATAAAAAAGCGTAAAAAATAATATATGTTACGAAAAATTGAAAAAAATGGAAACGAAAAATGACAAAAGTTTTAAATGCATATTTTGGTGCTTTTCCGTTATCGACTAAAACCCTGAATTTTCTCCTATGCGCCTAGAAATACATTGTAAATTAATATTAAGCATTATAATGGTTTTTAGCAAAAGGTAACTATATTTTAAGTCGAAAAACAATAAAAAAGCTTTAAAACAACTTTACAGTTGAAAATTTGAGGAAATCGGCATTTTGCATCAAAATTTGCAAACCCCGTCGTTCAGGAGCAGTAAAAAAAAGCAGTTTAAAACCCCTGCTCTACTGATCTGAAAAAGATTCGTTTCTTAGAAAAAATGTAATCTATAAAACAAAAAC